AGAGCCAGCAGTGGGACATCCCAGGTGTTGGGGTTTTAGCTTTTATAGAGATGGGGTAACTGGGAGGTGTTTGAAAAGATTTTATTCTATTATCAGTCTCGATGAAGGATGAGACATAAGAGATGTAAAACTCAACGCCATTCTATCAGAAGCTAATTTCTTAGTTATAATATGCTATTAATGTTTTTCAACCTATTAACTTTTACTATACAATGTTGCTACTACTCCTAACACCAATCACTTCTATTTTTACCCCATATAATCTTGCTACACTGTATCTTTCACAGTTCTAATTTTTAAAAATATTTTATGGCTGTTTTTATAAAGCCATATTTTGAAACTTATTTCTAGTTCAATCTCTCAACAATGTCATCTCTATTCCGTAGCCTTCCTAAATCAACACACCTTATCTCAGTATTTGCATACAGATATATTTTGAAACTCCTTTACAAATCCATTTCTCACACCAGGGTGTGGGGCAGGGAAGAAGCTCCAGGACTCCTTGGCTCAGGCTCTCTGCTAGGTGATTCTCCCTGATCCACCCCTCTAGCCCAGAGGGGAGGGATGCTCTCCCCAGCACACCCCAAACCCAGGACACAGTGCACCCCAGTGTCACAGACATCTTTTATGGAAAATCCTTTCCTTAGAATTTTTCCTCCTGAGAAGCTGGGAGGCCTCAGGAACAAAATGTAAACAATGATTATCTGCTGCTGTGGAATGCAACAGGTAGATCTTTGATTAGCCCATGTTAGTTGTTTTTAATTAATGGCCAATCACAGTCAGCTGGCTCAGACTCTCTCTCTGAGCCACAAGCCTTTGTTATCATTCCTTCTTATTCTATTCTTAGCTAGACTTCTGATGAAATCCTTTCTTCTATTCTTTTAGTATAGTTTTAATATAATATATATCATAAAAAAATAAATCAAGCCTTCTGAAACACAGAGTCAGATCCTCCTCTGTTCCCTCAATCTGAGACCCCTGTGAACACCATCACACCCCAGAGCCTCCCCCAGAACCCAGGGCTGGTACCTCGTGCACAGCAGGGAAGCAGGGCCAGGCAAGCCTAGAAAACAAACAGCCAGAGACACAATTGTTAGTGTTCAGAAACACGAAATATATATATATTTATATATATATATTTATTTATTCATTAAATATATATATATTATAATCACGAAAATTATAATATGTGGGTGCTTTTATTGAAGAGCTCTGGGTGTCAGGGGTACCAACCCAAATCTGACTCTGATATGGGTTCGGGATGAACATGTTTTTATATTCTATGGTTATATAACTTTCATGTTAATTATAAAACTTATATTGTTCTATTGTATACATAGATTTCAGCCAAGCATGGGCTCCTCGTGGACCCCCCTCAAACTTCTAACAGTGTTTCTCATGATTCTTCTTATGATTATACAATAATTATACTTAATTACTAAACAATCATCATATATAACCGTTATATAATTTATCATTCTGCTTCTGCAGGTGCAATTTCACATGATCTGGCAAAACACAAAGCCTAACATTTTCAGAGTCTATCTTTAACATTTTTCCAGGGCCCCACTATCACAATCACTTTGTGGCCAAGGACAAAACCCCCCCAAATCTCCATCAGGGAGGATCCACACCAGCAGGGATGTGTGGGCAGTGGGTGGAGGGGGCTCTCAAGCTGATTTTAGCTAGATGGGGGGGAAATCTGACTAAAATTTCACCAGCAGCTCCTGCTGGCAACAGCAGAGGGTTGGATGCCAAAGGGACATCCCCTGTGAACCTGGCCATGCTTGAGGCTGGGTGAATTCTGGAAATTTGTCATGGTTTTGGCCATAACTGGTTCTCCCCCCAGGGTTGGGGAAGCCAGCTGAGACACTCACCTTGCAGCAGGCACAGAACTTCCAGCAGAGCAGGAGTAGCAGCCCCAGGAGCAGGATGAGGAAGATGAGCAGAGGGATGAGCCAGAGGAAGCTCCCAGGGGGACACTCTGCAAGTGACAGCAGCAATGTCACCTGCAGGCCTCAGCCCCGTGTGGGGTGTGCAGGGAGGGGAAAGGCTGGAGAACATCCCTCTGAGGGATGCAGCAGCCCAGGCCACCTTGGCAGTGCCTCACAAGGAGAAATGCTGCTCAGGGAGGGTATCACACCCCTGTCACACCCAGCCATGCCAAAGGGCTGCAGCACCTTGCAGCAATCCCTGCCCATGGCAGGCTCTGATCTGTAAAGGTCTCCCTGAGGGTGCCACGTTCCACCCCTGGCAGTTCATGGGACAGGCAGTGTCACCCACTCGTGTCACCCAGCTAGGTGGGCAGGGAGACCCTGCCCAGGGGCACAGCAAAGGGACAAAGCAGGGTCTGGGGGCACTGTGGAAGTGGTCACTGTGATCCAGACCCCAGGCTGGACATGCCCTGCTGGACATCCCCAGGGTGGACAGCCCCTGCTCCTCCCAGGGCCCTGCTCACCTTTATTCTTCTGCACATGGACAGTGGTGTTGGGGAGGACACTGGGGTCTCCCTCCAGCGTGTAGTGGTAGGTGCAGTCATCATCCTCATCCTGGAAGGAGCAGTGCTCACCAGCCTCCTCTGTGGGGACAGGAGACATGGGTGTGAGGTCACCAGGGCCAGGAAAGCCTTGGGGAGCAGCCCTGCATGCACACCCACACGGAGCAGGGCACACAGGACACACCACACGTGACTGTGCCCAGCTGTGCCTCTCACAGTACCTTTCTCCAGCTCCTCCACCATCTGGATCTGCAGGTGGCAGGAGCTGCAGTTCCCTTTCAGGTTGCCTGTCCCCCAGGTCTGGCAGCGCACACAGTCCCGGATGCTCTCACACACGGCCTGGAAGCCCTGGGCACAGGGGTGGCATGGTCAGGGACACCCCCAGGAGCAGGGAGGACACAGCCTCTGAAGGGCAGAGCTGGAGAGGCAGCTCCTCATCCCAGAGTCAGGGCAAGGTCCAGGCCACAAAGAGAAGTCACTGAGAACAAGCAGCTCATGAAGGATTTACAAGTCCAGTTGGCTCCAAAATCTCTTACACCAACAGCCTGCATTTGGGCAGCAGTTGGATCTTCTCCAAGGGTTTCAGTGGCCTTTCCAAAACCTGACCAAGCCAGCTTTCTCCATCCTACTGTGGGATTAGCCCATGTTTGTCAGTGGGGAAACTAAACATGTTCAAGGCCAGGTTGGGTGGGGCCCTGAGCAACCTGATCTATAGGTAGGTGTCCCTGCCTATGGCAGGAGAGTGGGAATGAGATAAACTCGAAGGTCCCTTCCAATCCAAACCAGTCTGTGACTCTGTGACATGAGGTTTTTCCCAGTCTTGAGGCAAATCAGAGCAAGCCACAAGCTGAGCCTCAAACCAGGGTGCAAATAAACACAGATAGAATCTCAAAGGCTGCTGCTGGCGAACAGCAGCGCAAAGAAAGCCTGTGGCTGCAAAGCAGCTCTCATGCCAGGCTTTTCTCGCCACGGGACTGGTGAGACAAACCCTTGCTCGAGATTTTGTTCCTGGCTGAGATGTGCCTTCATCTCTGCTTTGCCTTTCTTCCCTGGACGCTCTGCATGGGAATAAACGACGAAGGCAGAGGGACTCACCAGGGAGTAGCTGATTTCACAGGTGGAGCTGGTGTACAGCGAAGCCATGTCACAGATGCACCTGCCACACTCACACCTGCCGTGGTTATTGCAGATGCCCTGCGA